TTTAACGACATTTCAGAGGAACACATTGCCTTCAGCTTCAATTTTCCATCCTGAAGATGGAGGAAGTATATTTGTCTGCAGTGTTGGTTAAAACAAATTTCGGAGCATTACATTTCAGAAGACTTATATCAATAATACTTTTCTAATTTTCATTTCATGCATCCTGTTGTGTTATAATATACAACTTCTTTATTACAACAATTTTTTTTTTAATTACAAAAACCAACGAGTGACTCAATGATGTAAAACATCAATAGAAAAATTTTATTGTGTTATACTATAACTTTTGTTTTATATAATCTAATTCATCGTATTTTTACATCAAGTATTTTATATAATTAATAATATTGTATCCAATTTTACTAGCTATGCGGTTCAGTGGTATATATATGTTAACCATGTATTTGCCTGATGATGGCTATAAACATGTAGCAGAGCCAAAACTAGGCACTGATCTTGATATTACACGTAGTTGTGTTTTGACGGTTGTAATAAAGAAGTTGGGCTCAATAATACTGCTCAAAAGTCAGCATGTGATAGAATGTATGCAGCAGAAGTCTACACTTATGAAGGTGATGGTACGTTCCTGCAAAATGTAAGCAGACTCCTACCCACCTACACAGCATCACTTCCACATTCCTCATGATCACTGCCCTGAATATCTTATATCTCACACGTAACACTGGTGTTTGTAGATGACTGTACTTCCATTTATGAACAAGAAATATTGGCACACTACAACAATACAGTAATTGTGTTGTATTGATTAAACTGAACTGTGATCAGTTCAGACGAATTATTTTACATAATAAATTTATTTCTCAGAGCGTTGTCTGAACAAGTCTTCATCACAGTAGTGAGTCTGTTAGGAAATCTGTACAAATTAATAAGAAATGGCAAGTCTACCACTGCAACCATTTAAATCTATCGGCCTGACGCTTCAGTGGCCCTGTCTGGGCTCCAACTGCACACGGCCACCTCAACTTTACAGTTAAACTTTTAGTGCATTCAAATATATTATGAAATTAAAACATTTTTATATAATTTTTCCTAAAGATGATATACATTTAAATACTACACCAAATGAAACTGTTTTATTGTATCTTTCTCAACAGGATACTGACCAATAAGGAAACAAAATCTTCTGTTTCTTTTGATAGGTGTGTCATACCTTTTGTCTGAAAACCATTTACTGAAAAATTAATCACCTATGGTAAGGACAGATAGTAATAACCATCAATAACCATAAGCAGACTGCTCTGAGTGAGAATGTTACAAACTGAAATCAACTCCATACATAATTCCAACCTTGCAAGTAACCACACTAACTGAACAACACATCCTTCATGCACCTAATGGAGTAGGTATACATGTTCCAACTATTTCATGAAGAAATACCTAAATGTAACAACTTTTGTAATAATATGATTTCAAGTTAATTTCTATTAACAAAGACTAAAAAATACTGAAACTTAAAGAATTAGGTGGCTGGAATATATGTCACTAAGGTCGTCAGTTTACAGTTATACATTTCTGATATCAAGAAAATGTAAGTTTGGGAACACCTGGAGTCTGTCTGTGTACCTTCTTATGTGAAGATTAGTAACACATCAGGATTACAATTCAGACTTCAGATAATGTCCAGCATTCTAGATAATGTGGGACCATCAATGTCTCACTCATCACCACCTCCAAGTAGATGCCTTAAGAGCAGTTTTACACAGTTTCATGACCTGATATTATTACTGGCCGAATCTATGTATCTTTTGATTTTTCATATACCTACAGAAGACTAATTTGATACAAAGTGATAATTTTCAGTCCAGTGTGACATACAAGTTTACAACACTTCAGTCTTTATTCACCTTACATGTTTTGATTCAAAAGAATCAACCTCAGAGGCACACCACTACAATCAGGAAACACTGTCACATAAGATGTTTTAACATTATGCACTTAAGCTATGAATAATGCTCACTATATAAATTTTTGTTATTATCACAGTTAGTTTTGATGTTTGCCTTAAGCATTCACGATGACGCTTCTTGAAGTGTAGATTTACGTATGATGCTGTTTCTTTTAAGCATATTTGCTGGGTATTCTGATTGGGATTTCCCACTGCACGTGATGTGAGGTTCACTTTTCCATACAGTAGCTTCCCTATGTATTTGAAATTGTATTAAAATTTCTTTTGTATGTTAGAAATTAGTTATTATGTTAAAATATCGTGGGTCGTGTTGTTTTCCTCCTGATGGTGGAGGATGTCGTTTATTTCTCTTGATTGTATGTTCTTATTGTTAGTCGTCAACTAACAATAAGAACATCCTCCACCATCAGGAGGAAAACAACATTACCCAATGTTGGCTCACAATATTTTAACATAATAACTAATTTTTTACATGCAAAAGAAATTTTTAATACAATTTTAAATACACAGGGAAGCTACTGTATGGAAAAGTGAACATCACATCGCGTGCAGTGGTAAATCCCAATCAGAATACCCAGCAAATATGCTTAAAAGAAACAGCATCATATGTAAATCTACACTTCAAAAAGCGTCATCATGAATGCTTAAGCCAAACATCAAAACTAACTGTGATAAAAACAAAAAACAAAAAATATATATAGTGAGCATTATTCATATCTTACGTGCATATTGTTAAAACATCTTACGTGACAGAGTTTCCTGATCGTAGTGGTGCGCCACTGAGAATGATTCTTTTGAATCGAAACATGTAAGGTGAATAAAGACTGAAGTGTTGTAAACTTGTATGTCACACTGGACTGAAAATTATCCACTTTGCTACAGAAGACTCTTGATCATCTGCATGTGGATTAAACACAGGACTTTTATCACCATATATAAGATTTTTAAGGGGGCACACAGTAGCGTAGTTGGTTGAGGGGCTATACCATAAGCCGGAATGTCTCGGGTTCAAGTTCCGATGAGGTCATTGAAGTTTTTTCAATTGACCTATTCCTCAGCCTCTAACAGAAATGAGTAATAGGAATTAATTAAATAATTTTCCTGGGGCGTAAAAGGCCGTCGGCACGTAAGGCTGACAACCTTACTGCCATCTTTGAGCTGATTGTCTAGATAATGTGGGACCATCAATGTCTCACAACCCCATGGGCCTTCACGGCCTCTTACAGGGATAGCTTTACTTCTTTTTATAAAATTTTTAACCACCTTCCACTGTTTTTGATACAAGTCGTTTTCAATTTTTCATCCTTTACATGTCTCAGAAGGATTTTATCAACACATATGGAAACTACTGTTACCACGTCATAGATATAAATGTTATGGCCTTTAACTAATACTAAGATGTACAGTGATTTGTTAAAACATCTAAAATTATTAGAGAAGTGGAACATCATCAACCAATTTGGTTCTAGATTAAAACAAATATTGAACATTATTTTGTAAACAGACTAATTGTGATAATTTTCAGATGTTTACGGGAGATAATGGCCCAACAAAAGTGTGGTCTTCAGGCAGGCCCACGCACTGTACCTGTCAGCTGACAAGTCTTATCGATGTTTGTCCTTGAGTGTGGTGATGAAACTTCACACTAGCCACATACACTCGCATACCAGAATGCACAGTCAGCCATGTTACGTCAGCGCTTGTCATTCATGTGTTATGTATAGTGCTTGGAACCCTAACGACAACTATGACATAGCGTGCGAGTTTTTTTTTGTAGTTCAATTTAATGGCTTCATGTCACTCGCAAGTTAGTTTGAAGTTACGTACATTATTAACATTACAGAAACCACATATTCCTGCCAGTTTTAATATGTATTTGGTAATCAACAAGTGTGTAACACCTGTCAAAGTTTCACACTTCTCTGGCCATTATCTCCGTAACCGTTCAACTTCAGACATAGGTGTTTTGGGTTATATTGGCATACTTTAACATAAGGAACACCCTCCCAAAGTCTGGCACATTCCCCCTGGGACACCCTGTATACATTTTAATATTAGTTAAAGAGACACAAAATTTATATCTATGACATGGTAACAGTAGCTTCCATGTGTGTTGATAATATCCTTCTGAAGATGGTCGTTTTGACCAAAACATGTAAAGGGTGAAAATTAAAAACAACTTTTATCAATCAGACTGGACGGTGGTTAAAAATCTTATATACAATTACTAGTGTGTTGAGCCAGGATGAACCAAGTTACTTTTATAACCCATTACAAATGTTTCAGTAATATATCAGTGGTGCTTTACAATGATTTGCAGGAGACTATATGTCTCTTGCTTGTATAATTTTACAGCTTTTCATACAGGTCTACCACTGAACCAGGGTTTCTTTCATCTTTTGGAAGGATACATGTCACAACGTTCAGTGGCCAATTTGCATGCTTGAATGCAGCATGCATGGGGGGGTGTACAAATATTGCTATTGCCATCAAGAAAGGCCACATATATAATTACTTCACGTCCGATTTAGTTCAGAGGCGGTTCATCTGGCTCAGGTCCTATGAACAAGCAACTGCTCACTAGAAATTGTACTTTTCTGCTTACAGGTGCCAAGAGCGGGCACAGACTCATTTGAATGTGACATGAACTCTGTGGCCTTCCTTCCAGTACATACAGGCACTATCTTCCCACCTCATGACTCATAGTACGCGGGTTCAAATACCCGGCGGAGGTCGTCGAATTTTTAAGGGCGGAAAAATTCAGGGAACAAGTCATCCGGGAGGGACTTTAAGCCGTGGGTCCCGTGTTGTAGCTTTACGGCATGTAAAAGAACCTCATACCTCCAAAGGAGGTCACTGAGCCAAAATTGCAGATGTTTCCCGCCCAACAGCAGTCACTAATACCTCTCAGCTAGTAGAGCCGGTCTCGCTGGCTGGGCGGAACTGATGGTAAGCACCAATACCAGTAGGATATAGAGACTGGTAGAATCATAGAGGGAAGCACAATGGACCACTACAGGTCTAAGTGTATGGGGAAACCCACCCTCTCCAATAACTAACCAACTAACTACAGGCACTATCGGCAGCTGCAAGCTGTGTCTTACTTAAAAATAGAGATGATATTCCAAACAGTAACAAACAATAAAAATATAAGTCCATACTAAATTTCAGAGTTGGTGCCAGCATATTTCACAAAGAATCTGCAGTTTTGTTTTCGAGATGGTTGCCCTGAAAAAGGAAGAAACAAAGAAAATGTAGTAATGCTCATGTTAAACTAGCAGATTTCGCAAAAACCTCACAGATGGTTTACTTTTTGAAAATTAAATTTCATATTCTGCATCAAAAACAGAAATTCTTAGTAAGATTTAAGCGTATCAAGAAGGAAAGTCTTATTGAACAATCCATTATTAAAATGACACTTTATGGTCTACAGTTGAGAAATTATAACAAGACAAGTGACATGATCAGAGAAAAACAAATATTTATTTGCAGCAGTATAATCGCCACATGACATTATCGACATTACTATATGGAGGCTCATCTACTCAGTCTTTAAGTTAAAGCTATGAATTACTGTTATTTGTAATGTCATGATAAGACAAATTTTGAATTGAGTTGACTGGTTTCATCTAGTAATCTGTGTTCTCATGTCTAAGTCTGTCAGATAATGAATAGGATTACTTTTTCTTCGCTAGAACTGGCTGTTCTTTTGAATGAATTGAATCAGTGGCAGACAAAAAGCATACTCATGTTTGTTTACTGTCACTAAGGACCAAGAATGCAGACTGTGATTCTTTCTGTTGCTGCTGCAAGACGCTAAGCGTTCCAAGTGGGGTGTCTGTTGAGCTCATCTGTTTCATCAACTTGAAACAAAATAAAAAATATGTGTTCAAATAAAAATTAATCTCATTGAGCCTGACACCTCAGATGGGGCACAGTCTGTTTGCCACTAAACACACTGAAGTGTTTGCAGCACCTCTCACTGATTATCCTAAGAAGCTGGCCAAATTTTAAGTTAGTCTGCTGCTTGAAGACATCAATTTCCCCTAATTTCCAACCCATGATCTCTGTCTATGTCTGCTAGCCTAATGACAACTGAACAAATACGCTGTGTGTTATATGAGCAGGCTCCATCTGTCTTGCAGCAAAATTGCTGTATTCGCTTCTGTCCCAGGACTGAAGCTACTGTGTATGTTTGTAGTCAGCAGAAAATGATAGCACAAAGTGTGGATGGATATCTATCTGCTACGTGGAATCATGGACATGTAACGATAACTACAATTTACTTCCTTATGGAGCACCATTTAGAAATAGCATCAAATTGTTTCACAGTCTAACGTGTAGCACTTCCTTCTATAAAACTTTCTGAAAGTTATTCATTACATGTTTCGACCTATAAGGTCATCATCAGGTGTTTTAAAATTAGGAATTACATATGAAGAAACTGCTGTCCTCCCATATTGTGGTTGTTGGCCATTACTTTGTGGTCCCTTCTGTGTGCATGTATATATGAAGTGGCAGGTTGCTCTGCCCGCTGTGTTACACAGCATAACACAACAGGAAGAACAACCCACCACTTTATATATACATGCGCATAGAAGGGACCACAAAGTAACGATGCATAACCACAATATGGAAGCACAGTAGTTTCCTCATTTATAATTTATAACTTTAAAAAACCTAATGATGACCCCACAGTTCGAAATATGTAGTGAATAACTTTTAGTAAGTTATATAGATGGACGTGCTGCACGTGAGACTGTGAAACCATCTGCTACTAAATGAAGTGCAGCAGGGTGCTACAGTATAGTACTAGTTACAAATAACAGCTCATGACCAGGTCTGGACTGATACTCACTCCTTCCTGCTCATTCTTCTTCATTCGTTTCTCTACTTTATTTCTGCCAGGTCCCTTTCCATGAAAATTATGAGACAGGTATCTGAAATTAGGAAGAGAGACAACATTAAAGTCACTGTATTTTAGGATCTTACAGAATGTGACCATGTTTCCAAGTAAAATGTAACACCCTTTCATCCTGAAGTTCCAGCCAGAAAATAGGGGTTACATCCATATTTAGTTTAGTGCAATCTGTTGTTTTGTTAAATTATAAAAATATGTAACATTCTGTTTTCCAACACAACTTACTCATACAGCCAACAACCAGAAATGGGCATGCTACAGCCCATTAAAGTCATAGCGATTGAAATGATTAACACAAAATATTTTAATAAAAGTACAATGGGACAGTAATAATTTTGAGGCATGTTTCTTCTTAATTCATGCAATCTATCTCCAAATGAACCATTCTGCCACATTCTATGCCTACACAACAAACTGTATCAAGTACAAAGTATTTACACACTCAAATGTCACAATATGTTGGCTAGTTACAAACTGTCACATACAGAATGGGAGAAAAGGAAGTCAAAACACATATATAACAAAATGTTCTACTGAAAGCATCTGAGGTGGAGACAATAATCTCAACCCCCATGATAGGGTAATCATGACAGTGCTGGTCAGCAGAGGGACCCTACATTTTAACATGGGACGGGGGTATCCTTTGTATTCCCAAAGCTTTAATGCTGGTAGATGTGAAAGCATCATCTGTAAGGAAAGAAATCTGTACACAGACGTCACCAAGGATAAAACTCAGAACCTTATGAATGGGTATAACAGCTTACCCCAGGACCTTCTTCTTAAGGACCTACTCTAAGTGGCTCTAGTGTTGCTCCCAGCTCAGTCACCATGTTAAAATGGCTGCTGGTATACAACTCAAAGAACATGTGAGTGGCACGATGTCAATTCAGAGTTTCACATAAATTCATCATTTGGTTCACGCATTAAGGTGAGGATAGCACACATGGATGATATACACAATGGTCCCACAATCTTGTCTGTTTCCACTGGAAAGCCGCTTCCTCCTTGGAATTATTTTCTTAAAATGGCAATTACTATGATAACTTTTTTTCCCCCTAAAGAATGTGCTACCATTGAACAGGCTATACTCCAACCTGTAAGTCAACTGCCATTCCTTGAAAATGCTTATGTACTTTACCACTTTATATGGCATTTTATTCCAGAAGACACCATTTGTCAAGAAGAAGAAGAAAAAGGTTCTACCATTTCAACTATCATATTCTTATTGTATAGCGTGCTTTCATTTCTAGGACCTTCCATTGGATGTTTCCAGTTCTGTACTCAGTTCAGTGATTTACATATCCATTATCATGAATTCAACTGTAATTAAAATATAATCTAATTCTGTTGCAACTGCAGTAAATAACTGTAGATGGGCAATGAACTGTATCCAGTGTTGACACATGCTAACCCAAAGTGCCCTTACCAAATCTGCAGATGGTTGTATTGCACTCACAAGTAGTTCTTGAGCGTACTCATCCCCGTTGCCAGCCAGACCATACGTGGCAATGTCACCCAACGTATGGCAGAATTGTGCTGTAGCATGCAGCACAATGGAACCACATTCCGTGTTTCCTTCTGAGTTTCTTTCCACTACAGGCTTCTTTCTAATATGCTTTACTGATGTATTTTCAACAATCTCAACTGAAGTCAGGGGAAAAACTTGATTTACAGAGACTAACTGTTCGAAGTTGAACTTCATAATATCTGAGCACTATGATATTAGTGCTCATATTATTTTCCTTCTCTATAAGAGAAAAAATCTGAAGAAGTAAATTGAATGATAGTATTTATTTATCCAGATCATTCAAGTGTAATCCATGTTTAATATACAAGTGTCTATTTTCATTTAGTTCCACCACACTGACACGTGGAAATAGTTTTTTGAGCTTAAGTAGTTTTCTATTAAAATTAGTAATTTCATCACTGAGAGTAATATTAGGACCTTTTAGGCTATGCCTATAAGGGACTGTTAAAACAATCACATTCCTATGAGTGACTCTCTTAATGAATTCAACAAAATCATTAAAAACCGTACTTTATTTCACTCTATCAATATTGTTTGACCCACAACAAAGAATAATAAAATCTTTGTCTAGCAAATTATCAACATCTTTTGTAGCTTGTTCCAATATTATTTTGGTACCAGCTCCAGGTTTACTGTAACCACTTACTTGGAACTCATCATTCAAATAAAGTTTCATATTTTCTGAGAAGCCTCTTAGATGACTATCACCTATCAATAGTATTTTATATTTTGAAGATTTTGAAAGATTGCTTTTACTATTCAGGAATGTATCATGTAATTCACTTACATAATTATGAAAAGACATTCATTCATTCATTTATTTCGTGTCCATGGATCATTATACATGATATAAGACATGTCATTCTTGTGTAGTTATAGTATAATAAGTTTCATGATGTTACTATTGGGGGGGGGGGCTGCATGTGAAGCATGCAGTGCAACGTGGAATTTTGGTACCAACTCAGCATTTGCTCTAGNCTCATCTATGCTATAAAAGCAGTGTTTTAATAGAAATGTTTTCCAAGTAATTTTAAATTTACATAATGCTGGTATCTCTTTAATGTATTGCGGTAGGTGGTTTAGAAGACAAAGACCAAGATTATTGAAACTGTTTTTACACAAGCTTGTATTGCATGGAACAATGTATAAGTCCTCTTTCCTTCTTGTATTATATGAGTGTACATTTGCATTGGTTATGAATGTATTCGAGTTGGATTTCATGTAAACTAGTGTTTCATATATATAGAGGTAGAGGTAGAGGTAATACGTGTAGTGATTTGAAATACTGTTTGCAGCTAGTGGTTTTGGTTACCTGCATTATGGCTCTAATGTCTCTCTTTTGTAACTTAAAAATCGACTCTGCATTTGATGAATGACCCCAAAATATCAATCCATATGATAACAAGGATTGAAAGTATGCATGGTATAGAGTGCGAACAGTCTCGATTCCTAGCACTCTGCTGACTATTCGTAGGGCAAAACATATTTTGCATAACTTGTTTGCTAGCTTTTGAGTATGTGTAGACCACTTTAAATTCTTGTCTAGCCATATTCCCAAAAATTTTGTGTATTCCACATTATTGATTTCTTTGCCATAAAATTTTATTGACGGGTATTCTAGGTACATCTTCTGAGTGTGATGGAAGGATATTGCTACCATTTTCTCTATATTAATAATTAACTTATTCCTTTCGAACCACTCTGTGAGTGTATTTATTGTTTCACTTATTTCCTTTTGGACAACATCCACCATATTCCCTGATATAAAAAGACTGGTATCGTCGGCAAAGAACGTAAACACTTCCTCATCCCTAGTAGGAGAAACACATCCATAATAATAGTTGGAATGTTTTGGGGTTTGGTATTGTCTTCCTGAACATTCACTGGTTCATATCTAATATTGATTATTCGCTTTTTTGGTACCCCAGTACGATGCTTTATATAATGCCTAGTCTGTGCATTTTCTACATCACGATGAATCTTCAACTTCTTCACCGATTTAATTCCTTGCATTTCCGATGCGGTATGTCCCCTACCTGATGGGTAGTCCGTTAGATTTAATATGTCATACCCGTTATTAGTAGCTATAAGAAAGTATGGTGCATATTCACTTACATTTTGCTACGTTGTTCTTTCCACTATTTCTATACCTTTTGCACATTCCGTCGTCAGTCAACAATTTTGATGTTCGTCCGACTTCACATTCACCGCTACACCAGATATAATCTTAAGTTTGGGGTTAGTCTCTTCCCACTCTTTAACACGAGTTTCTTTATTAACGGCAATCAGCTTAATTCAGAAAGTGCATGTTGCAGATTGTTTTCTAATTCTAGACATTCAGAACATTCGTGACCATCATATACATCCTACCTATACTCGTTATTTTCAGGCCGTGCATACCGGTGCATACCACTTCAGCCAACTGCCAGCCATCTTCCCACACGGTTGTATAATATGATAGACACTGCCTACTGAATTGACAAGATCAAAATTTTCTCCTAAGACATATGAAGCTATAAAACCTCTTTTGTACATTTATAGCATTCACACGCACACACATATATCAACTTCAGAATTCCATGACTCATTGTAAGGAAATGAAGGTGCTAGTTAATCTTCCCGGGTTGATGTCCTAGCAGCTGGTGACATATTAATCGATATTAATGTCCTATACTCAGTAGAAACGTGTTTTGTCCACAAAGAAATCGATCACACGCTCCTTCGCGTGAAGTATAGATGTCAGATTGTTACAAATGCCATGTGATTATTTAAATAGGACTTTTAACAAACCATTTGCAACTGATGAAAATATATTTTCCTTTTAAATTACAGCCTGTGTTAGGTGGACCAATATGAAAATTCGAATACCAAAATTGCAATTTCAGTAACTTTTTAAGTAAATGTACGATAGGGTTTTAATTGGCTTACAATGTTCAAGCAATTTTCATACATTTGCATGATCTGGTACGAGACAATCTTTACGATTTCCGACACTATTTTAAGAAGAATTGGCGCTACCCCGTAGGAGGACGTCCTCTGTTTGGTTGATAAGTAGGCCGTTATATCATGACAAGGACGCAAGCGGTCGACGTGGCAACGTCGGCTGAGAAGTATTGCGTAGTGACGCAAGCTGTTGACGTGGCAATATCAGCTGAAATGTCTTGCGCGGTATTGCGTAATTTTACCTGTTACGTAGTATCACCTGTTGAGGTTACTGGCAGTTCGTCGTGCGCTTCCAGTGTGGTTGCATCGTTAGTATCTGCGTGAGATAAACTGCTGTTGGAATACTAGAAGTTCTTGTGTGGTGAAATTCGTATAAGTGGTGTAACTGCAACAGTAAGTGTACAAAGTGTTTCTTTCATCGTTTTGATATTCCGGCCGCTTCAGTAAGTACGCTAATAGTGATGGCATGGGAAGCGGAGAGACTAATGAACATTTCTCTGACTAAATTGGCGGAATCTCGCAAACAACGTGGCGGTGTTAGCCTTCATAAACATCTCATGGTTGTTACGGTTGCGAAGAAGGCGCGTTGCATTTTCAAGGAGGAACTATACAACATGTTTCAATCCCAACAGCGTGGTGGTTACACATCAACCACATGCGAAGCGGAGAGACTAATGAACATTTCTCTGACTAAATTGGCGGAATCTCGCAAACAACGTGGCGGTGTTAGCCTTCATAAACATCTCATGGTTGTTAAGGTTTTGAAGAAGGCGCGTTGCATTTTCAAGGAGGAACTATACAACATGGTTCAATCCCAACGGCGTGGTGGTTACACATCAACCACAGCAACGACCCCGCAGGATCAACAGCAGCAAGACGATTGCGAACACAACTATGACGACAATGGACTTGTAGATTTCACACCGGAGGAGGCTGGCACTGGATCGTCGCAGTATACAACACCACACTCCGAAGACGCGTCGTCCGGAGTTAATCATCTCCAACTTTCAGCGTCCTGTGTACGATGTGCAGATAATATCCCGCCCTCCCTTCCATCATATGAAGATGACAAAGAAAATCAACCTCGACCCTCATATCACACAATTCCTGCCTCTCCTCAGAGTGACAAATCACCCGCTCATGGAGACCGTGTTCTACGACACAGACGACGCAGACGACAAAGACGACGCACATGGAATGCAACAAGTACTTCTTCGCCGAGGTGCCCTAAGAGACGGATTAACTTTGACGAGTGCGAAACAGAGGAAGCAGACTTAACACCGGGGCAGGTTGACATTGGATCATCACAACATAAAACTACTTCAACTATTCCACCAAAGTGTGCAAAGATATGCTGCATGTCGTGAGGGCGATGACACCGTGCCCACGACAGTGTAAGCCAGTTGTGTTGCAAGTGTTGTGTCCATACTGTTTCGGCAATCTTGCAGGAAATGCGGCAGCAGTAGCTGCGAACATGTCGGCGGGGCCGGGAATTTGAAAGCCAACCAATTCGGTATCCACCCCAAACCTGTGTTCGTCTAAAGCCAAGGAGGCCGTTTCGTGCGATGATTGTGTAAATACTGCTACATCGAAACCGAATAGTGTTGCCATGACCAGCAGGTTGTAAACATAAACACATTAATCCAACGACAGCAGGCTGTGCGATATTGAACTGAACTTAATAATGAAAGACAGAGGTAAGCAGTTCTGTTTTTAAATTGACGAGAAGGTGTACACTGGGGCCTAGCCCAGAAGATAATATATTTTTCTATTGTGATTAAAATATTTGATTCAGTATTTTTAACCGAGTTATAAATTCAAATTTTTAAAAAGTGTGTTTGTCTTCAATGATTTTGTACTTGGTTTCTGCATCATGCTTAACTCAAAGCCTAGGCAAATTTTACATCACAACAGTAACAGTTTAGACACATCTGAACACCTGAGGATGGCGGTCTGTGGCAGAAACATATATTGAATATTTTAATGATCATTACATTACGACAAACTAAGAAACCAAGTACAAAATCATAATTAAAATCTGTTCAAGTTTTATAAATGTGTATTGTTGGTAAAAATACAAGGACAATTTTAAAAATAAAACGTTCTTTCAATTATTTGTTAATTACCCAACAATTCCTACCATTTATTGTGTTAAGCTGTAGATGGAATAGTAAGTGTGAAGTACTCAGCTTTAAGTTTTCAGTTTGTTCATTGGGGCTAGAAGTGTGCCTTCGAAATCAAGTGCCAGTCCTATAGAAGCTCTTTGAGAACGCTGTCCTTCATCTGCACATTGCTAAAAATATTGCAAAAGTAATTTTTCTGGCTTACCCTTTCCTATCAAGGAGGTACTTTACAGCACAATTTTACCTGGACCCAGGCATAATAATAAAACTAATTACCAATCCGAACGGCGTCTCAATAGCCACACTACAGTATATATCATGCCATCTCAATGGAATACATCATAAATCCCTGTGATGACATAATCAGTATAGGTATGTCAAAAAATTGTACAAAAAAGAGAAACTTTACGAATTGTTTTGTTCTTCTGGAATTACTGATGCTTTTTAATGAAGGAGATTTAAAAGGATCTGGCATACAGAATGTTTGGGCAGAACATGAATTCCACATGTAAAAC